CGAATCGACGAATGCTTCACAACGGGTGAAAACACCTCGTTGTAATCAACGCCCTCAAGCTGTGCATATCCCTTATCGAATGTCCCCAATAGAAGATCCCTCCTTCTTAGCATACACCCACTTGCAACCAATAGCTTTCTTACCCTTAGGTAGCTGTGCAAGTTCCCAAGTGTCGTTCTTCTGAAGAGATTGCATCTCCTCCTCCATAGCATTCCTCCACCTAATGGAATCAGGACTGGACTCTGCCTCCCTGAATGTGGCAGGAATCAGATCATCAATGACCTCCACCGATAAAGCATATGCCACCATGACATCATCATATCTCGCTAGCCGACGAATCTCTCTCCTCGGTCTATCTGCTGCAATGGACCCCTGAGCATGACCCTGCCCATGAGCCTCGCCATCCACTGTATCCCCCAAATGCCCGACTGTCGTCTCATCTCCTCCCTGTGTCACCTCTGTAGGAGTCTCAATGGGAACAGTGCCAACTGGAGTGGGTGGAGTCACATCATCCTCCACCTGCTGCGATATCCCACCTGTCTGATCTTCCTCCACCTGCTGAGGAACTCGAGGCTTCATCATGTACGCCTCATCAAATGTGACATCTCTGCTAATTTGAAACCTTTTACACCTTCTCTAAATCCCACAAAGATAGCCTTCCTTGCTCTCGGATTCAACTTCCCATCACTAACATGGAAATAAGCTGGACACCCAAAAATCCGAAGAGTCTCATAATCACTAGCCACAGAACCAGACCAACGCTCCAAAGGAGTCTTCCCCTCTATCGCAGTGCACGGCAACCTGTTAATGAGATGGCTCACATAAACTAACGCCTCGGCCTAAAAGGATCTAGCCAAACCACTCTGCGTCATCATACATCGCACCTTCTCCAGCAAGGTACGGTTCAGCCTCTCTGCCACCCCATTCTGTTGCGGTGTCTCTCTAACTGTGAAATGCCTTCTAATGCCGTGATCCCGGCAAAACTGTAGAAATGGATCACTCTTGTACTCTCCACCATTGTCTGAACGAAGAGTCTTCACCTTTCTACCTGTCTACAGCTCCACTTTCTTCTTCCACTCCACAAATATATCCAGGACCTCATGTTTATGCTTCATGGTATATACCCAATTCCTCCTGGAATAATCATCAATGAAAGTGACAAAATAATTTGCCCCACCAAGCGATGTGTGCTTAGAAGGGCCCCAAACATCTGTGTGAATGTAGTCTAATATACCTTGGGTGTTATGAATTGCGGTGCCAAACTTCACTTTTATCTTCTTCCCAAGTATGCAATGCTCACACAGCTCCATCTTGCAGGTCTTTGCACCTTTCAATAGCCCCTGTTTTGCCAATGACTGTAGGGACTTTTCACCTGTGTGTCCAAGCCTCATGTGCCATAGTGTGGTAGTGTCCTCCTCTGTGGTGATAGAAGCAGCCAGACCCCCTGTAACTGTCTTGCCCTTCAAGTAGTATAGGTTATTTTTCCTGACACCTCGCATCACCACCATGGACCCCTTCATGACCTTCAAACTAGCATCCTCTAAGATCACTCTATAGCCGGATGCCTCCAAAGTCCAAAGAGATATGAGGTTCTTCGTCAATTGCGGCACGAACTCTTCGTCAACTGCGGCACGAACCTCACATCTTTCAATTCCCTAGTCACCCCGTCATGCATTCTGATTCTGACTGAGCCAATCCCACTAATAGGACAAACGTGATCGTTCCCCATGAGCACCACGTCTCCTCTCTTCAACTCCTCAAAGTTGGTAAACCAATCCCTCTTAGGGCAAATATGAAATGTAGCTCCCGAATCAATCATCCACTCCGTAGAGTCGGCATAACAAACTGACGGCAGTGTAGGACAAGAATAACCGGAAGAATCCAAATCTGAAATGTCGCCAACAACCTTGGCAACATTCACCTCTGAAGCTTGTACAGCTTTCCCCCTTTGCTTCCCGGCTCTATCCTTCAACTTTGGGCACTCATTTTTCCAATGTCCCTCTTCTTTGCAAAAGGCACATTGATTTCTACCAACACTTTTATGGCCACCCCTATTCTTTGATTTTGAGCGGTTGAACTTTTGGCGGTTTGGACTACGGCCACGAACTGCAAGTGCATCACCCGATGCCTTCTCGGAGGGCTCACAATCATTCTTCCTCAGCTCATAATTCACCAATACCGAGGTCACCTCCTTGTAGCTAACTGTAGTTCGCCCATTTATCATAGTGAGAACAAAGGTGCTAAAATCATCATCTGGCAATGAACACAACAATAACATCGCCTTGTCTTCATCCTCCACCATGATATCAACATTGGCCATATCCGAAATTAGCTTTATGAAGTCGTTAACATGCTCTCGAACGGAAACTCCCCTCTTCATCTTGAATTGGTAGAACCTCTTCTTCAAGTGAAGCCGATTCTCAATGCTCTTTGTCAAATATTTTTCATTGAGCGTTTCCCACAATCTCTTTGCCGAAGTCTCGTTCATCACATCATAAATGAGATCCGGTGTTAGGCATGACCGAATAACCCCACAAGCCCTACTGTGCATTTTCTTCCAAACCCTATCATCAATCTCCTCGGGTTTCTCTTGAAACTCAAGAGTCTCCTCCAAATTTTGTGCATCCAAGACGTCCATTACTTGACACCTCCATAAACCGAAGTTGATATTGCCGTCAAACTTTGAGACATCAATTTTAGTGTTATTGATGCTCAAATTTTGGATCGCCTTTGTCAAAGCCGACCCCGATGTACTAGTAGCACTTGAACTAGCCCTGCTTGTATCACCCATATTGTAGATCTACTCTTTAAATAAGAATCCAACAGTGAATCCTTCGAACAAAACTCCCAAATCCAACCCGGAGCTCTGATACCACTTGTTGTGCGCCGCAGAAGCCTCGAATAGCCAAAACAATAGCACACACAAGAACAAAATAGACCACAATAGACACAAGCCAACCAATCACAGCAAGAACACAAGATATACGTGGTTCGGCAATGTGCCTACGTCCACGGGGCAAGGAGGGGGGAGTTTCACTAATCAAATCAAAGAGGAATATAAATTAGGGTTACATCCATTAATAACATCATAATGGAACTACAAAGGTTAATCATTGTGTATCTTGTTAGAGAGTAGACGTTTCCTAACTTTGATAGCAAGGCTTCTTAAAGAAGTATAAAAAAAATCCCAAAGGAAAATTATCTACATATATAAATGCAGAAGATAGTCTAATTAGCCTCTAATTTTTAACCCAAGTCTCCATCCTTTGTTTCTAACAACAGAGCCCCAGACTTGTGGCTCTTATTGGGATTGTGTCTTTGATTCTTTATATAACTTTATGAGAATTAGATAATGTTAGAGATCTATCATGATTAGGAGATTGGGTTTTATCATAATTAGGAGTTTGAATCCTATTATAAGTTGAAAGTTAGGCTAGAGATAAAGTTTTGGTTTCTCTATAAATATTCTTCTATTGTTGGAGGAAAAACAAAACAGATAAGAGAGAGCCAATATTCTTGTAATTTAGGGTTAGCAGAGGACGTAGCCTGATTCAAGAATATTGTGCGAAAGACGAGTGTTTCGTAGTCTTTGTCCGTGCAAAAGATTACATAATTGGGAGAAGGTTTCACGGTCTTTGTCCGTTCAAAAGATTGTAAGGAGAGGGCTTTGGAGAGAATATGAGAGTTGATTATGTATGTGAGGTTGAGAGGTTGAGAGACGAGTTAAGTGGTTCCTCTTGTAGTTCTCCCTGATACATAGTGGATTTCTCGTATTGTTGCTCGTGGACGTAGGTCGAAGTTAGTCGACTAAACCATGTAAATCTCGGTGTTCTTTCTTCTTGATTGTGGTTGTTTTATATCTTGTTGATTGTGGTTGTTTTATATCTTGTTGATTGTGGGTTGGCTTTCAAGTTGCGCAAATCGTAGTAGGTGGGGAGACTAAAATTCCCCAATAGCTCTCTACTAAGAAGCCCTTGACTTTCTTTATTGACAATAAAACCCTAAAATTTTAGTTTTTCTCTCCTAAGAGACCTTTAACTTTCTTTTTCTAGCAACAAAACTCCTAAATTATCAAAGAAGAGTTGGAGGCTTCTTAGAAGAGAGGAGTAAACGTTAGGGGCTTCATTGTAAAAAAAAATAAACGTTAGGGGCTACTTAGAAGAGAGGGGTAAAACTTAAGAGCTAATTTGTTGTAAAAAAAAAAGATAAAAAAAGGAAATTGGGTTTGTTAGAAAAAGGGGCTAAAGCTAAGGGGCTCTTTAGAATGTCTTCTTTATATAAATGATAAAAAGGGAGACAGAAGAAGCATAATCTCATAATCATCATAATCTTTAAGAGAGTGACAATTTTTTTAACCAAGATCGTCAACTGAATTTGGTGACAGTCTTCTCTTGTTATCCCAAAGGACCTGAAATTCATGCATATTTTTAGCCATCTTACACTTTAAAATCTTGGATATTATGCGCATGCACAACTAATTATCTCCTTCCTCTTTATATAATTATTGTTACTTAATAGTTATTATTACAATTGATTGAGGAACAATGTTTTGTCTTTCTATTCAATAACAATATAATTTGTGTCTCTTTCTTTCGCTGTATCGTGTCATCAAATTCTTTTTGGATCATCAAGTGTGAGAAGAGTCGTTTCTTATCACAAATAAGAAATAGACAGATGAAAAGAGTCTTTAATAAAACTTGAAATATAAAAATACAATTTGGTAGCCTCTCGCCTTTCAAGACTTCAACTACTAAATATCATGTTCTTTTTCTCCTCCTGAAAATTGCCCACGTTCTCCCTTTACTTCCTTTTCTTTTCCTTAATTCTTTCATCCTTTTAATTTAGGTAAGCTTACACGTTTTCATGAAAACCCCTTCTAAGGATTAAGTATTCATAAAAGAAGAAACAGCTTTTTCCCTAGGGTGACAAGAGCATGTGTACCATGAATTTTCAATATTTTGAAATACACGGAGTTTGTTTGTTTCAGCGCAACTCATTGAAATACAACTCTATTGAAATACAAGTGTCAGGTGCATGCAATTCTAATTATATACAGTTATAACTACGTTCGCGTGGTTCAAATTTAAAATTCTACAGTTTGTATTTCTAACAGTGACCATCAGCAAGTTCTATAAAGTTTTTCACATCTAGGTATTGAACATAAATATGGTATAATGAATCATCTTTTCCAATCTGCAACCAAATTTTCCTACACAATCAATTCCTTAGCTTCCTTCATTTTCAAAAAGAAACCAATTAAAAATAAATGTAAATCCATGTAAATCAGCAAAAAATCCCATATTCCCATGACAATTACAACCAAAATATGTCAACATATACTACATATAATTGTATTAGACAAGAGACTCTCTCATGAACTTGAAATAAGAATGGAAGCCAAAATTGAATGGGGGTTCTTGGTTCTTGGTTCTTGATTCTTGATTTCTCAACGATGCTTCTTGCTCTTATCAGAAAACGGACAGCATGGAATTTTCCTGAGAACTTTGTCATCAAGAACCGTGTACTTCTTGTTGATCTCGACCATCGCCTTGTGAGCAACATTATCGACTTCATCCTCGTATGTTTCGTAAAGCCGAGGCAGAGAAATGAGAAGCAGAAAAACTGCAGACGTAGCAATTACTGTGAGTATTTATCAATATAAACTATGAATGTGTATTTGGCCATGAACACAATCTTTATGTTACAAAGAAAAAAAAATTATCTGAAGTTATTAGTAATATCCCATATAAGATACTGAAAGAACAAGGAGAAAAACTATGTAAGAAATAAAACAAAAATGAGAAATGCAACTGACCAATGTATATGAGAGTCAGAAAGCTGAACCATTTGCTGACAACAGAAACTACCCACAGGCAACCAATCGCCTACGTAAAGAATAAAAAGAGGGAGAAAAGCAACGTAGATAACTGAAGCAAACTAAGATATATAGTGAATATAATTTTTGAGAACTTTACCTTGAGGAATTGCTTGATATCTCTACCCGAAGCAATTCTTCTGAAAGCAGAATATGCTTCATTTATTTTAAGTCTCAGCGCAAGTGCTACACTTAGAAACATGCGCTCAGATAAGATAACCTCTGGAAGTGTTGGAGGCTTCCTGAATTCAAATGGAGATATTTTTCTTAGTTTGTATAATATACATAATTAGTTCTTAAAGAACCAATATTCAGTGGACTAGAACTCTGAAGTTGTGGTGAGGGTCAAATCTGACTCACGCACCGGTGTCAATTTTTTCGAAAATCCACTTTAAACTCGTGGATTGTGGGATATGAACTTTGGTTGCTTTGGTACTATATTAAAGTCCCTCTAACTATTACACAAAAACTCCGAACTTGTGGTGAGGGTCGAGTGATGTAGTACTATATTCTAAGATTAGTAGTTAGTTATATCATCAATGGTAATACCATACATCAATAGTGACATTCATAAATGCAGAAATACAAGGTTCCAAGAGAAATAGTAGAATACCAAAGTTATGAGTTGGATTTAGTACAAGAAAAACATTAGAGATCATGAAAGTGAAATAAAAAAATATCTAAAAAATGGCTCAAATTTCAAATAATGGTTATGCTATTTGGAAATTAAATGTCAGCGATAAGAAACTCCAATTTGAAAAGTTTTCGGTATTAGTTAATGCACATCTGATATCCTGTATAAATCTCAAACAAAATGCCATCTGAAATTATCAAGAAATATAGCAATTTTGCACAGAAAACTACATGTCAATACTATGTTTAAAATGGCGATGGCGAGAATGAAGCCTGAGATTCTTGCAAACAAATACATATAGTCCTCTCATAATGCTAAATATGTAGCAAAAATCTAGCAAAAAATCGCCGATTATGAAGATGATGGATCATGATTATGGGGAGTTTTACCTGTTGACAAGTGGAGCAGCATAGGATCCAAAAAAGAGTAACAAGAGTGAAAGAATGAGACAGTGACAAATAAAAGTGAGCAAGTGATAATCCATCCCTTCAAAGAGAAGCCAGAGAGTAGTCACTCCCACAACAATCCCCCCTGTCATCTGCTTGTTTCTCCATAGCACTACATCAGCAGCTGAAATCACATTCAAGTTATGTGACTAAGATGAATTAAGTGTACAAAATTATGTTCATTGCACAAAGTCCATCATGTTTCTTCTTCTCCTAAGAAAAATTTCAACTTGAGATTTTGATGTAATGGAAGGAATTTTGAGTTGTTATTTAATCAACCCATATTTAGATTTCATTAAACAGAAATTTAAAGCAAGTTTTAATAATGTTTAAAGCATATTAGAAGGAGAGTGCAGGTCCCAGGTCGAATCTGTTTGTGAGAGTCGGATCTGGGGTAAGGCTTTAACGTTCCCCCTTACTTCTTTTTTATAACGACTATTTCCAGGAAAAAAAAAATTAAAACAAGTTTTTTAGAAAAAAGAAAACTTATCACTGCATGAAATGGTCTAGTTTTCGGCCCGTATAAAAAGATAATGAATAAAACTTGTTCTGAAAACAGATCAATCAACACATAATGGCATTAGTCTTCACAATGATCAGTACCTTTTTCTACCATTTTTCAGATGTATAGTCGAAAACTCAACTCCTTTTGTGCTATCAAGATTATAACGAAATAAAATATGCAAGTTTTTACATATATTTTTCTCTCGAAAAGATTGCATCTACATATAAAACATCACAAAGGGAAACAATATACAAGAATATGAATTGATAGCAAAAAATCACTATTTGGCAGTAGTATATAATAATACTTAGATTTTCATACAAAGAGCAAGCTTTATTTTTAGGATAATATTTCTATAGAACGTTATATTTTAAAGGAAAAAAACTCTACCATTACTTTTGAAAATTCTATTAGTAAATCAATTATAGGCCAAAAAAACATAAATTAGACAAACACTCTGGAAATTAATTAATTAACAAAAACAAAACCATTTACCTTTTCCTCCTCCAATATAACCGTGAATTGGCACCGTTCTTCCAAACATCTTCTTCTTCGAAATTGTCGGTTTAGTCTCCTGTTCGGAATCCGATGAAGACGAGGATCCTTTATCTTCATTGTTCTTGAAGGTTGGAGATCCGTACTCTGACATTATGTACTAGGAAAAAAATTTCACAAGAAAATGAAAGAAATATTTTCAAAAGCTAGAGCATTGTATGAGATAAAAAGAGAGAATTTTTCAATGAGAGTTTAGGGTTGTTTTGTGCAGTATTAGTTTGTGTTGGTTCCTTCTTTGGCTCCGTGTAAGAGAAGTAGAGGAAAAAGCGGGTTGTTTTGTTTAAACGTGGTTGATGCAGAGATTAAACTGGAATCAGTCAGGGTTCAGAAAATGCAGAAAAAATGATTTTGAGAATTTCTGATTTGAAATTTAGAATTAATGACTCTGCTAACTACTAAAATAAATACATTGAGACTTGATAATGCTAATTTATTTTTGTAGACATTAAGATTCCTTGCATGCATTTGCGCATTGCTAATCAGTAATCACGGAGACAATATTTTGCACATTATTAATCACAGATAATACCCAGCAGAGACTCTCAAGTTAACGCAAACTTTAGAAGACTACAATGTTCTTAGATTTTGGATAAATATATAAGCTTTTGCATTTTAAAAATCATGTCAAATAATCAGTTAATTGATGCAAATGAGACCTCGCCGTCGAGCAAAAATCTACAACTAGCGCAGCATGAAAATATTGGCAGCTATAAGTTTAAGCCAAAAATGCAGCTCATAAAAACAACAGTACATCTCATACATTTCCAGGTGAACATTTTCAAGTTGTGAGTGTGGCAATTTCTTTACAGTTAGAGCCTTTTCTTGCGTTTTCTTGCGAATGAAGCATATATGATGGTTTTTCCGGTGCTTGGCTTTAGTCCTCAATGTTTAGCACTTGAGCTCTTGAAACCTTAAAAAACTTGCTTCTGTCGATATCGTCAGCTTCAGCATTACAGAATTTAAACGATAAACAGAAATAACTGCAACTGATACGCACAAATAGAAGGAGTGCAAATTTATACAAACAAACATATACAGCGTGCGCATTATGTACAAACCTGATGCACAAAATGAAATGTAGCACAGATGAGATTATCAAAGAAACATTCAACCTTTTTTTTCCCCTTCTTTTTCTCTTCTGTTCTCAAGTTTACAAGGCAATTAAAAAAACCCAAAACATTGATATAGCAAAATTATCCAAGACATAGGCAGTAATCCACCAGAAATTTTCATCAGATATCAATGAAGTTGAACCATGAAACAAAACCATCAAGATGCTGAAAGTTTTAAGATAATAATGTCCAAACAGAGAAAATAGTCAAGTAGATTGCCTGACTTCTAATTTTCTGAACACATAAACCCCAAAAGGTATTGAAACATGAAATCTTATTTCATCAAGTACACATAAAGCCGAGTGTTTTCGTGGCATAAAAGATGCCAGCATGTTACATAGTTGCATTTTCCAACCCATAATAGATTAGGAATTTGTCGGCGTTTGATGTTTTCAGATAAAATCCCATCTTTCTAACTCATGACTGTGTAGGTTGTAAAGTTCATCGCAAAAATGTGATAGCCTATAGTTGGTTTGAGAAGGAGATAAACAATAAAAGCACAAACATATATTAGAATCTTAGCACATCACTATTTTTAGTGCTCTCACGAGGGTTATTATCCTTCAACCTGGTTCCATAAATGTCCTCTATGATATCATCACTCTTAAGGGTAGTAGTAAATGTTGCAAACTACCAGATAGATATCAGCAACCCAAGATTCCAAATATGCTTACCTTCCATATGTCCTAGCATCCGTGTTTAGGGGTATCAATATTGGAAAAGGCCTCCACATACTTTTACCCTTTTTTAACTTACAACTAAACTAGAAAGACAATGGTGGGCATGTACATCAGGCATCTTGCAGAGATACCAAACATAATCAATTTTTCATTCAATGTTAAATCTACAGAGTATGGACACTTCAAAATTTTAAATCCAAACATAAATATACCTCAGGCTGTTTGACTAGAGCTGAATTGAGTTTCCAACCAAATGTGAAACAAAATCTGAAAAACTCCAGTCATGAATAGAGATGTAAAAAATAGAAGTCGTAAATTAACAATGTTGACCACTTAACGCTTGTAATAGCATGAAAAAGTTAAAAAGCGATTAACAACAACCAATCCCGCAAGGTATTTATCAAGAGAAAATTATAGGTATGCAATACATGAGACCTGGCAGGTTACTTTGACTCTATTGGTCTAATTATTTTCTCTAAGAGTGACCTTTATTCAATGTCATGATCCTGATCACTTCCCAACATAATACGGCACATATAAACAGGTCAGTGCAGCAGTGCTCTCACTCTCTTGGTTCAGTAGCATCAGTTCTTTCTACATGGAAATCATATCTAAGATAAATACCAAACTAATAATAATAATTCACATCTTATCAAAGAATTCCACTATTATAGTTGCTTACACTCGGAAGTTCCATGGTAAGTTACTTATCTTCCTGGTTAATATTGAATTCACTTGACAGCAGAACAAATTATAATTTGACTATATAATACCCAGAAAGTTTTCATAGTTTAAATATGAAAATAAAAGGGAACTGTGCTACCTATTCAGAGATCAGTCAACCTAGAGCACAACCAAAATGTAGCATTGTCTCAATTGTCAAAGACTAAATTAAAACAATTGGAATTGGATAATTTAGTTAACTCCTTGGGTTTGCACAAGCATGGGGCATCACAACTTTCCACACCAAGAAGCTGGATTAAGACAAAATTAGGCCAAGATCACAACCAAATTTATCCAACAAAGCATGTCTTAATATAGTTAAGCATGACTTGGACATGAAACATAAACACACATAGGTTTTCAATATCTGACATTCACATAGCATAAATCTCATCAACATAAATCTCATCAACGTCCCCTATGCCAAGAGAAAAACAAACCTAGCTGACTAGCATTGCAGTTTCCGGTATCCGCTAAGACTGAAACAATAACAGCACGATCCACGTACTACAATAGATAATGAGAGTATTATGAAAATGAGAAAGCAAGGAAGAGAGAGAGAGAGAGAGAGAGAGAGAGAGACCAGTAATCACTTAAAGAGGTTAACTGCAAACAGAACCTAGAGTTCGTTAGATGCATTTCTACAGATCAGAAGCAAACTACCTTAAAGTAATAGAGTAGAAGTTCATAATTTCTAGAAGTACCGAAATTAAAGAATCTAATGCAAACTAGTACTTGTGCTTATATAGCAGTATTCAAAGTTACGAAGGTCTCATAGTTAAAGAATTTAGCACATCAACGACCTTAAGTACATACTCAAATCTAAAAGAATCAGAGTATTTGATCAAAGTGAAACTGATGCAAAAAACAAATAACGGCGAGACTCAAAATTTTACCATAAAAAAGTACTCACACTCTTGCTAATATACAGATAAGACAGAACACATAAGTACGACCATGTATTGATAAATACCATAATTGACAAGATGGAAAACATAAATATGACAATATATTAAGAAAGACTGGGAACAGTCATAACATTAGATGTTTCCAAAAGACATGTATAATTTAATCTACATGTTGCACAATGCTGATATCGACTGCAACAGATCAGCAGGACTAATTCTATTAACAGGACTCGCATGCTAATGTAAGAGTTAACCTTACAACAGGATGCTAGATTAAAAATTCTGATGGATTTTTTGTTGGGTAACACCAAAACAGCTCATTTGAACCTCAGATGCCTTCCTCAGATGTTCAGAGATAGCCAATTAAGTTGACACCATCAACCTGAGAATCCACTGCTTGAAAAGTAAGACACTTCTTTACAACCTACCTAAGATAAATTCAATTAGACAACCATCCTCTTCTTTCTAACAGCGATCTCAAATCAACTGGCTCCCAAAATCAAGCTTTCGGCAAACAGTTTGATCAAACTTCCTTGTTTTGGAGCTGGGCCTCATAGGAGCATCTGGGCAAGTCTCTGCAATACCCGTTAACAGAGGCACAGAAGTCGGAGTCTTAAAGCCTTCAAATGTATCATCAGATAAATTATCTTCTTCTCTGTCTTCTTCTTCTTCTTCTTCTTCAACCAAGTCTTCATTGCATATCTCTTTGAGCTGGTTTGAAACAATCAATTCAATAAATGATTTACATACTGATTCCAAGATACAGTCTTCCTCATCTGCGATAGCAGGAACAACCTTTTCCTCAAAATCACAGCAAGTATCAAAATTTAACTGCCGGCGAGTAGGGATCTTAAATTCCCGCTGCATTTTCTTTAGAGGAGCAAGTACCAATTCTTCAGGACCAGGAGCAAATGGATTGAAAAGGTTTCCAGTTGGAGTTTCACAATCAGTTAGAATTTCCAGATCATCAGTTTGATCAGAAGCTGATGAAATTTCCACAGCCTCGCTATCTGGGGAGGGGGTTAAAGGATATAATTCTCCATCTCCATTAATGAGCTTCACACCATTAGCTTCTTCAACAATAGGAGACGTGAAGGAAACTGAATCTAAAGATTTCTGCCCTTCGATTTTAGAATCTGATATCAAAGTCTTCGGCCTGTTAATTTCTGAAGTTGCAATTTCCTCCAGAGACGAGGATTTAAGTGTGAATGAATCCTCCATACTGTCCATAATCTCTGCAGTGACTCCGGATTCCTCATTAGAACTGTCAACTTTTACGATTCTGATTTCGGCCATGCTTTATCTTCAGGAAGAGTTTCCTTCTCCCGTCCTGCGGAAAAACATTTAAAAAGGAAGCAACAGATTGAAAATTAAAACTCCCACTTATGTGAGCCAATCTATCAAAGATACAAAAAATTTCGAAAACTGATGAATCAAAGCTTTTTGTTTCAAAAAATTACAGCTTAACTAAGTAATTGAGTGTGAAGCTTATATTGAAAGATAAAAGAAACCAAAATCAGACGGGGGAAGAGCTTCAAATGGGGGAAATTTTCAAAATATCAAGTATTCTACAACGAATACAATCCTTTTCTTCCTATTGTATTTATTGATCAACCAAAAAAATAAATAAATAGATAATAAAGCAAATAAATATAATTATACTGTTCAATCAGTCTATCCAAAAATAAAACTGCAAATTTCTTAGTATTTACTCCCCTAAAATAGAAGTAGTAATGTGAATATCTAAATTCTCAAAAATAATTAAAAAAAAACTTTCAGAGGCTAATAAAAATTAAAAAAAAATATAGACCAAGCTCATTTGGGGGAAAAGCTTAACTTCACAATGAAGGACTCCTTAAATGACATTAGGTTACCTAAATACAAAACTATTGGTTTTTACGGTCAAAATATTATTCCATTGATTGTGAATATGATGGAATAATTGAGTTGTAATCAATATATTTTCAAGTTTTTCGTGGGAACATCGATTTTAGTGAAAGAAAACCAAATTTCACTGAAAGCCCTAAATGTACTGGCAAAAACAAAACTTCAGAATCATATATATTAGAAATACGCCTAAAAATCATTAAAAGCCCCAATTTCTTCAAACCAAAAGAAATCAAGCTCAAAAACACAATTTTTACACAATAAACCTTATTCGCTAACCAAAAAAACTTCATAAGACTAAAATCCCCAAAAAAACTGAAAAAGTATTTTTAAAAATCCCTAATTCTCCAAGCCTAAGAAAACAAATTAAGCTCAAAACACGTTTTTCTACGCCAAAAACTTTTCACTATCAAAGACATCATATGACCAAACTCCCCTTAGAAAAACATTTACAAAAATCAAAAAACAAACTCCCCAAAAAAAAAGCCCTAGTTTTTTAAACAAAATGAGCCAACAAGAGCCAAAACACTCGAATCCTGAAGTAACCAAAGATCCCAAACAAATAACAACATGAATCCAGAAATGAAAGCAAGCGAATCGAAAAAGAACGCACCTTTAAGATCTAGAGAGAGAGAGAGAGAGAGAGAGAGAGTTAGGAGTTCCTTTCTCTTCAAATTGGCGGGAGTTTTTGCTGGCGGCGGCGGGAGAGCGAAAAGTTTTCGAGGGTGAAGGAGACTTGGGCTTTATAGGCCTATGAAACGCGCCAACTCAGAGGGCTCGGACCTTTTCAACGGCCCAGATTCATCTTAAACTCACGATCCACTCGTGCGGACCTCATCGAATAAGGTGGTGCCACGTATTGTTATCTCGTCCGCTGATTTCGTCTTGGACGGTCGGATATGGATTATTATTTACTGGGTAACGGAAATATTTAATCCAGTAAGAACTTGACAGACTCTGACTCCGTTATCTTGTACGCTGAACTATAAATTTCGCAAAAACCCCTGACTTAGGTCTTTTACAAAACCAGTCTACACTTTCTAAATTTCACAAAATCCACCTGAACCAATGAGAAGTTTCTCAAGTCGCCTGAAATTTAAAAATATCTGAAAAAATATAGAAATAGCAGAAAAGACACTCCCCTGAAAATTTCCTAATTTTTATTTTTCCATTTTAACTATCTTAATGATATCTTTTCAAAGTTCGGAGGGTTTGTGAAACTCCTCATTCCTCAACATTCATGAAAATTTCATACGAGCTTAAATTGTCAATCATATAGGATGTTTTACGTAAACCATCTAAAGTTCAGGGAGGTTTGTGAAATTTATCTATTCTTTATTGATTCATAGGCCGAAACATTAAACATTTATCCAATGCACAGAAAGCTGAGCCAGGATTCATTGAATGTACCCAGTCAACACAACCAGCATAGCATAATTCTTTCCAAGAAAAAAAATCATAATCTGGTATTCCTAATTTGCTATTAGAAATAAATCATATGGAGTTAATGAGGTAAAAAAACTGGTGTAATAGTAAAATTGACTAGATGTAATCTATAAGATAATCTTACAGTGAGATGCAAGAACGTGTATGTATGCCATAGGTGTATCCATTCAACGCAAGGTGGGGTCAAGTGGCCCCACTTAGCATAGAGAGATCAGAACTCATGATACCCTTTACTAAGAGCCCGTTTGGGACTGTTTGGTTGATTTTAAAAAAAATAAATAGGATGAGAATATCAATAAAACTTGTTTTCTACCCATTTTCTTAAAAAAAATTATGAAATTGGTTTCCTTAAAATTGTGTCGCATCCTCCGATAAGATGATAACAACGCATCTCATCTTATCTATTTTTTTACTTTCAGGAGGTGAACCAAACAAAAGAAAATAACCTATTATAGAAAATATGTTTCTCATAATAGATTTTAGATTTTCTTTTTTTAAAACCAACTAAATAGTCCCTAAGAATAAATAAAATACACTTCGATTTTAAACATGATGACCGCCACTAATAAATTGGTGACCACATAAAAATTATGTTAAAAGCAAATCTCTACCCATCGCTACCAACTAAAAAAATACATATTCTCGACATCTTTTCTCTTATAAATCGTAGATTGTGATCTCTTTCTTCTTCGTTCGACAACTCTTGCAGAGCCTTGTCGCCTCCTCAACTCCTCTAATTTTTTGGCCCTAGATAGATTGAGATATGAAGGTCTAGGGTTTGGATTTTTTTTTTAAATAACGTCATATATCACAAATTACTTATAATAAATAAAATAAATAGAATTTAGGTAAAACAATATTAAGACGTTTTTTCCTATTATGTGCTTCTTTTAAAATGTGAAAACTCATTGGGAACTGTTATACCCCTAAAAACATTATTGTTAATCTCCACTGAACAGTAGACACGTGTCTTGCAGTTTATACAGCTAAATCAAAATCAAAATAATCTCTGCCTTAGCTCAACCAACTGTTCGACCGACATCTCATGTAACCAAGGCAAAATGCGGTGCCACACGGACAACCCTTCAATTAAATTCCCGAGCAATCTAGCTTGACCAACTGTTTGACCGACATCTCGTGTAACCGAAACAAAAGGCAGTACTTGTAATCCAAACCGGCCAATCACCTCTACGAATAACCCCCCGCCCGACCCAAGTCATCAACATATATAGTCGACTATCAGCTAGATTACTAAGAGAGTTTGTAGTTTTCTCGAATCTCGTGTCGGCAGCCGCCTGACATTGAATTAACTGCCCTAACAAAGTCATTATTAACCCAGTCAATAAAGTCTTTATGACTTATCAGGCCCCATTAATACCAAGCAGGTGATATGGCTTAGCATGAAATACCTGGACAACCCTTCTTTCACAGCGGCTGACACCTGTCAGCTGTATGCTAACTCAGCTGCCTAGTTGGACTCGGCCCAAGTTAACTTCTTGGCTCTCAGAACCACTATAAAAAGGGGAGGCACTGCATGAGGTAAAGCTCTATTGTCTTTTTTTTTTACCCAGTTAACTCTATATTTCCCCACTCAATATCATTTGCTGATTTGATCGTCGGATGAACAACCGAATAACCAACTCCAGACTCTTTCGAGTTTTTTCTTGTACGTGATAAACAGTGTCTCCTAGAACCATTCATTAGGAGAAGAGAGAGGACCCTAATCAATCCACAAACTTGAAGATAATCTTGCAATTTATTCCCTGTTTGATAATTGATGTCAATAGAAACAAATGTAAACTTTTTAGTTAATAATTATATAGTGACCACTTTTCAGAAATCATGGATCCTCCATTAATGTATGCATGTGATTTTTCCAGCTTATAAAATACAATAAATCATGTTTAGCTATATCTGTGCAAGGAATCTTTTCATTTCCTTTCTCTAGCAAAAGCCCTTGTACATGCTCTCTTCTCCAATTTTCTACCTCCTGTCTCATCCTTCGCCAGCCTCAACAAAGAGAGAATCAGTTGAATTCATCCAAGGTATCCTCCCATCTCATGATGCTAGTTGGATTCAAGTAGTTAAGAGAATCAGCATATGGAAATAAGAGAATCTTGCAGATGGACAATCGGCCATCATCTTTGTGCTTGATGCTAAAGTCACTTTGGTCTGTTATGTGACAGTTTGTTTCTTCCAATGTTTCAAATGATTTTCTCCTTTGACGCTACGGGCTGATGATAACCATCAATTAAAAAACTATATATGACTGTATTTTCTAAAAAAAGAATGTATTCAAAATGTTCATCTTAAGTAAAATCTTAACTCTTTTTGGTAATTAAAAATGTGTCGAACTTTCTTAACTTTATGAAACCAAATAATGTCTCAAACTAAAAATTACACATTTTGTTTTTTTTTCCTACAAAGACTGTGATTTAGAATAGAGTTTAAAAAAAATACAAAGACTGTGATTTAGAATACGGAACAGGCCCGCAATATTTGTGCAAGCAGACGGAACGTGAACCATGTTATGGGCGGCATATTTTATTTGCATCCCACTTCGACCAGATCTGAAAATAAAATTTTGACTTGGATTGATTTTTTATGATGCTTTTTTATAACTAGTATAGTGCACTTGCTTCATGTTTTGGTTATTTTTTCCGTTAAATAATTAAAATTCAGTTTTAACAAAGGAAATCGTCCAATATTGCGAACACTACAAAGTAATATAATCGTTTATTAAAAAAACTCAATTAATTAGTTTATATACTATTATTCAGTAATGTATTTAGAACTATAATTATTAAACAATAGTGTAATTCTTAATTTAAGTAATAATATTAAGATAATTATACCTTCTATATTATTATACTATTTTATGATAATTAATAATGATTTATAATAAATTCTAACATTGCTTATATTTATTATTATTTTTATCTTTGTTGTTATTAATATAAATTATTAATTATATTCTAGCGAATGATCAAAGTTTTTTATAATACTAGCATGGTGCACATGCTTGCACGTGTTTCTATTTTTCTATTTATATGCCATGATAAATTTATGTGCCTAATGTATATTTTTATTATATATAGTACTTAAAATTAGTTTGATTTGCAATGGATAATTTATTAGATAGCGAATCAATTTTTCTAATCATATGTTTATACATTCTATTTAGGATAAATTCAACAAATGCCTCCAAATGAACTTCCAAACTTTTAAAATAACACGAAACCTCCTTAAGCTTTATGGTTCTTAGAAAAATCTTTTCAACTTTTAACATTGTTAAAAAAAACCCTAAAAGCATGAAATACAATTTTCACTGGGAAAAAAATCACCCTGCATAAATTTACCTACATGTGAAAAAGAACAAGTTAGCATTAAGGCCATTAAGAAGAGCTTTTTGAAAATTATTGAAAGTTTAAGGGGCCTTAGTGAGATCATTAAAAGTTAGTAGGGTTTTATAACATTTTGGAGTTAAGTGATATTATCTAAGGAATGCCCAATTTTAAGGGTTTTTTTTGAGAGGCTTAAGAGCACTGAGGTACCTTATAGTTTATTAAATTAAATTAGTTATTTATTAAATTATTTATCTAATTAATAATAATTAACTTATTAATATAGAATAACTTTATCCTCAAACTGATAAGCTACATAATAAGTTAGGAGTTTCTTTTTTGCTTCTTTAATTTAATGCATGTAATCATGTAAGGAATCACCAAAAACCTCATAGTTAACAGAATCCCACACGAACATAGTTTGAGACAAAAACAGAATGAGAAAATGGATAGAAACTTTAATTATTATTATTTATTAAATGAATCACATATATTCACATCATCTCAAAAAAAGGTAAAAAAAACAATTGAACACCTTAAAAATCTTAGTGCATAGCAACGTTGATCAAGAAAAGAACATGAAAATTATAAAGATTATAGAGAAAGCCTCGAAGATGCTGAAGCAGCAAGGAGAAAAGCGAGCTAGATTTGGCTCTTTTCTTCATTATCTAATTTCAATTATGAATTAGAATGTTGATTGGAGAAGTGTGATAAAATTTTATTGTTATTTATAGTGATTTGGTGGGAGAGGAATTAGTTGTAACATTTTTTATCATTAGTGGCAGTGCAAACAAATTTATGTTTAGTGTACCAAGTGTTAGTGGAGGAGTGCTATGAGTGGGTGTTTAATTTAAAAATTAACGGTAATCAATTGGGAGGTTATGAAAAATTGTATGTATATCTTCATGTATATATGCATGGATG